TCAAATTGTCATAGTTAGGATTTTAATTGCTGCAACAAAACAACATGTCTAAAGCATCTTGGGTAAGAAAGAGTTTATTTGGCTTATACTTCTACATCATCAACACAGAAAGTCAGGACAGGAACCTGGAGGCAGGAGCTGAAGCAGTGGCCATGGAGGGGTGTTGCTTATTGGCTTGCTCCCTTATGGCTTATTTGCTTGCTTGCTTTTAGAACCCAGGACCACAAACCCATAAGCCAAGCGTGGCACCACCAACAATGGGTTATGCCCTTCTTCATCAGTCACTAATTAAGGACAGACAGGCTTGTCCGCCTACTTCCCAATCTTGTGAAGACATTGTTCTCAATTGAGGTTCGCTTTCCTTAGATGACTTCATCTGGTGTAAAAGCTGACATAGAAATAGCCAGGAAAACAAGTCCTGGATTATCTTAGTCATTTCCATCAGCTGTAAGTTTATGTTTTCTTGGGCATCTCTCAGGCATTTATTCTCCTTAAGTTCTTTCTCCTTAGTTTCACTGAACTGTTTCTTTGTGTCTTCTTTAAATTCCCTGAATTGTTTGATGATGTCTATGATTGTTCTTTTAAATTCTGTTTCCTAGACTGCATTTAGGTAATTCTTATTGACAAAATTGAGACCGATAATTTTGGAGGGGAGGTACTGGTTGTATGGTTCATACAGTGTTTTGTGGTGAGGTTTTGGCATGTGGACTTCTTTTGTTAATTCTGCTTGATATGGACAGAGCAGATTGGGGCATAAGAGAGGATGTGTAGGTGGTCTGGGCCTAGAGATTGGAAATAGCTTAAGTGGAATGAAGTCAGGTTAACAAGGAAGACGGGGCTGATGTACAGGATGTACATCTTGTTGGAAGCTTGGCTGTGGGAGTAGGTCCACCTGGAGAAAAGGGTTGGATTTGGTGGAGGAGGATGCGGTGGGTGGATCAAGGCCAGAAGGATTGGGCTCTATAGGATGCCTGAGGATTGCTGTAATACAGGTAGGGGTGGCCAGACTAAGCATGGACACTAGATGTAGGACCAGAGCTAGACCTGAAGATTCAGGAGGACAGGTTACATAGAGGGTACAGTCAAGCAGACCCCCTAGAGAAGGGTATACGGGATGCAGTTTGGTGGAGCAGTGGGATCAAGAGAATTTAACTTAAAGGTATTTTGATCTCTTTTCTCTTTAAGACGCTATACTTATTTTATTATGCTGATAATATCTAGCAACTTCCTTTCATTTAATGATGAAACACCTGTCAGAGACTGGGAAGTAAATCTAACTAAAATGCGGGTCTTTTCTATTTTCAAGAAATTTCAATAAATTCAGGCATAATGGGGAGTGTTGAGATAAATTGTTACATCTGGCCCTTCCCATGACTAAGAAAGAGGAACAATGGCCAGTGGGAGTACTTAAATCTTCGAGGCAACACATTCTTTATTTGAATGTGTTACTCTTGCTAAATCACTAATTGACCTAAAACTGCTAGTTTTCAGTAGAGCCCAGAATAGGAACATGCTATAAAACATGTCCAGGATGCTTTGCCACTTGTGCCATATGGTGCAGCGGATCTAATGGCACGTGAAGAGTCAGCATTAGATAGTCATGTCTTTTGGAGTCTCGGAGAGGCCCCTATGCAGTACAATATATTAGGATTTTCCAGTTGGTCATGCAATCATCTAAACTAACTACATTCCTTAGGAGACAGCTCTTGAGCTACTACAATTTTTAAACAATTAAAAAAAACTACCAAGTAACCATGTTTCTTGAGTTGCCCAACATGAAGTGAGTTAAATCTGATTCATAAAGTTAGGCTTGATAGTAATGCTCCACTATCAACTAGAGCAGGCCCTGAAGGCATAAAAAATACACACAAAAAATGGCCTGAATAACCATGGTTCCTTCTCTTGTTAGGCTGCCTTATTGTTCCAACATTCTGATTCTCCAATTTGCAGGCAGAAGACTGTTGAGTTGTTACCCTCCATAACCACAGGAGTCAACTCTCAAAGTAAATCTCATTTACCATGTGCCCCTGCTGGTTTCTCTACAGAACACTAATATACAGATCCCTCTCTTTTTGTATTATATGAACTTTTACATAGAAAAGTGTGAAAATCATGCAATTATAATTTTATTTCTGCCTTTTTCTCACTGGTAAGATTATACTTACATTCTATGTTCTTCCCTCCAACAATACATTATTGTTTTTCTGGACTTATCTACCAATTAAAAGAAAATAGCTATATTCTAAGTAAACTTTTAAAACATGACTTACATTTTCTCTACTGGTAATATAGCAAAACCAAAACCAAAATTAATGGTAGTAGTTGAGAGTCTTGTGCAGAAAAATGTGTACACTTTTAGATAGGAAAAACACAGAATATAAGTCAAAACAATTTTGAAAACAGAAATTATACCACAAAATAAATATTCCTTAAAATGTATTGTAATGTTTTGTTTTTTGTTACACAAGCATTTGTTGTAGAAATGATTATGGAATTAAAATAACTATAAACAAACATAAAAAGTCAGGATAAACATTTGAAATTAAAGGCAAATTTAGAATAAATAAAATATCTAAAAATGTGGAAATAAAAATTAAAATATACTGACAGTACCACGGCTGAATAAAGACTGTGAATCAGCCAGGTGGTTCTGGGGCATGCCTGTAGTCCCAGCATTCAGGAGGCAAAGGCAAGTGGATCTCTGTGAGTTCGAGGCCAGCCTGGTCTACAGACCAAGTTCCAGGACAGCCAAGACTATACAGAGAAGCCCTGTCTTAAAAAACAAAAATAAAAATAAAAATAAAAACAAACAAAAAGAAAACAAGATTGTGGATCAATGTAAAGATGTAAATCATGGTTTGATATTTTACATACAAGAAATATATTAATTATAATATGAAATAAAATGTGTATTTCTAGAAATACATTGCCTAGCATTTAAGATAGATTTATAATAAATTGCAAGTGTTTATCATTTATTAATAGAAGTATATGAAATTATAATCACTATATAACAGCAATACAAAACTCTAAAGTTGTTTATAATAATGGTAAGGGGAAAATACTAAATGAGTGCAGTGAATATCTTAACATCTTTGGTTTGAATGAGGAAAATAGAAACAATGTACATATATTAAAATTCATCAAAAAAATGAGGCCAGATGAAGATCAAGTCCATCAAAATTGGTTCTTGGAATTGATAAAGAGGTGAATCATTATACAAAGATAGAATAATAATTGATTTTTACTTTTGTAAATTTATCTATATTTAAAATGAGTTTATTTGAATCATATGAAAAATATTTTTGCAAAATGAAAGCGAACAAAAATGAGGTATAGCAGTTTTCATAGAATGATATTAGTAAGGACAATTTCTAATAGCAAGGAGGAATTGAGGCAGGAAAATGTACATTCATCTAACATGTTTTTTAAACTGATACAGCTAGGATGGAACTGCTAAAGAAATTTAAAGGACTTCTACCATTCAATACAACTTTTGGGCATTTATATTAAGCAAACAATACACTGCTGAAAAATCATATATATTCAAGTGTTCTGGGGACATTTTAGAAACTGCTTTAAAGTCCAAGGTAAAGAAACACTTTAAAAAAATATAGTATAGCTGGGTGCAGGGGCGCATGCCTGTAATCCCAGTACTCACAGAGGCAAAAGCAGGCAAATGGCTGTGTGTTCAAGGCCATGGTCAACAGAGTGAGTTCTAGGACAGCCAGGACTACATAGAGAAACCCTGTGTTGAAACAACAAACAAAAATATGATATACACATAGAATTAGTGAATTTTGGGAAAATATTAAATAGCAAAATGTGTAGTATGTGTTTATATAGAAGGTATTTAATATAATATATTTAATATAAATACATAGACAATACATTTAGTATAGAATATATTCAGTATGGCTTGGTTTTTAAAATGCACTGTAGGCAGTAACATAAATGCTTACTTTAAAGCAGTTGGGTGTATTTAATATTCATGTCATTTAAAAAAAAAGCAATCTACCTGCAAAATAAAACAAAAATATCTACAAGCCTAACCACTTTGTCATGACTTGAAAATAATAAAACATGAGAAGAGAAATATGAACTATTTTATACTGCTAATAGACAAAAACTTTATGGCAAGATCATTTTACAAAAGACATTAATGTATATAAGGCAATTAAATATCCCTGGAAATACTACAAATACTTACAAGTACTTTCTTCAAAATATTTACCATACTAGGGCCCCAAACATTAGAACCATTGAAAAATATGACAAAGGTCAAGTTACTGAAATTGTACCTCATCCATAAAAAGGAAAATTAAAAATATATGTGTATTTTTAGTGTTTTTAAATGTAAATACCCAAATAGTGAAAAATACCTCAAAATAAGACATATATTTCATCTTATTCTTTTGAAGATATCAGCTTGTTTTATATACATGTGCCATAGGTTTCATATTTTATGTTGTAAAGTAGTTGAGTGAGTTTTGATGTTTTATGAGGATAGTTTCAGTACTTTTATTAATTTAATGAAAGGTATATGATTTAAATAAATAAAATAAAAAACTCTGACTCCCCTGAAAAAAAAATCCTATAGCCAAACAAAATTGAATGTCATAAACCAGAAAACAGAGCAGATACCTAAGACTTCTGGCCATGAGACACCATGAGAGGAAAATGTTACTATCTTAATAAGTGGTCTCTTACTATAAAAAAAAAAAAAGACCTCCCTTTACATTTCATTTTACTTTGAAAAATATTTGAAAATAAAAGTATCTTGAGTATAAGGAAAGTCCCTTTAGGTTTTGATCTTAAGAGAAGTGATGTCAAAAAGAAGGGGCAGAAACACACAAGTCAAGAAAAGATGAAGCAGTGAAAACATAATGAATATCCCCAATTATGTGTATAAGTGTATATAAAAGCAGGCATACACCTGAAGGCTTTCATTCGGCTCATTCATACACTGGAACACTAGAAAAGCACGATAAATATTTTAAAAGAATATTTAATGACAATGAAAGGAAGTTCAAGAATATCTATACATCTATATCTATAATCTATATTATATTTTATGCATGAAAAAGCAGATATTGAAATATATTAAATACACATATATATCACATGAAAAACACTGGCACATACAGATGAGTACAATTCAAGAAGGCATGGGAGTCATTAGGATTGATTGCTGATAGCATTCAATTTCTTCTGTCAAATCATCTGCTTAGGGATTTTGTTTTTCCTGCAACCTAGCTGATTTATTTTTCTGGCAAGAGGGAAAAGGAAAGGCAGCGGGAATGCTTCCTTGTGATTAACAGCATTCAATTCCAGTGAAATAACCATGACAGTGAAAATGCCATTTGCAGTTCATGACACTGCACATGCACACACACACACACACACACACACACACACACACACACAAAAGAGGAGGGGGCGGGCCATGAGACTGCAGGGTAGATAGGCATACTCATTTTTTTTTTCTTTTTTACTAGCTGCACTGGCTAGCTGGCACAAATACAAACTGGTACAATGCTTATGAAAGGGAGCCTTTTGGCAACACACAGGGAAAGTCTTTGAAACGTCTATATGTGGATCCTGCAAGTCCACAGTTGAGGAGAGACCATCCAGGGTGCTAGCCTAGAGCTGGCTTGACAAGGAGGGATTCACTCATCAGGGCACGGGCACGCAGTGTTGGTTTTGAACACAGGGAAAGAACTAGGCACCACCTGAATGTCCAACAATGCGGGAATGATTACAGAAATGTTAAGGTCCATGGATACATAGGAGCACTCTGCAGGCACTGAAGATGACGTTCCATAAGCCTGTTGAATAGCATGGAAAGAAGTTCAATGCGCTGATTTCTGTTTGGTTTTAGTCGCTGAAAAAAGCAGGTTGAGAAACACCACATACATGAACCACTCTACGAGAATGTTAAAAGGGAAGGTGGGTGTGGGGTAAGAGGCAGAGAAGGGGCAAGCAGAGAGCTTGGAAAAACAGCACACCAAAGAAGATAAAAGAGGTTCTCTCTGGGTATTAGGATGGTGGGAAGCAATTACACTCTTGGTTCTTTCTCCCACATCAGACTTCCTTCTCCTTCCAGATAGTTCTACCATGAGTTGCATCACCTGTGCAGTAAACAAAGAGACAGAAAAAACGCTTTTAAGAATCAGACCAAGAAGAGGCACCGCGAGAAGAGGCAGCCTTCAACTTCTCCAATGGCACAGATTAGTGGGGTTATTCTCAGGGTCCTTGCTAGGGTTGGGGAGAAGGGCGGGGGGGGGGGAGGCTGAGGGGGTAGGAGGAGAGGATGGGAGAAGAGAGGGGCTGAGAGCAGAAGAGGGGATGGAGAAGCCAGCTAGCTCCAGGGAGAGGGGGATGAGGAAAGGAAGAGGGGGGAAGGAGAGGGAGGGAGGGTAGGGGAGAGAAAGGAAAGAGGAAAAGGGGGAGGGAGGCCGGGTGAAGGGGGGGAGGGAGAAACAGGGAGGGAGAGAGAAACCTGCACTCCCAATACAATACACTGCTGGTGGGTTGGGGGGGGGGGCGCGGGGGGCTGTAAACGGGGTGGGAGCCGAGATTTGGCTCTACTGGCTGGGTCCTGGGCTGTGTTCATCGAAAGGTGGCCTCGTCATCGGAGTCATCGTCGAAATCCTTGAGGTCAGCGCTGGTGGACTGGCGGGCCCAGGCTCCCCTTTCGGCCTCTCTCTCCTTGTGGGACTTGAATCTCCCCACAAAAATCTTGCGGTAGTTGAGAAACATGCCATTCAGCGCATCTATGGCCCGCTCGGCAGACTCCTGCTTCTGGAAGTGCACGAACCCGTAGCCCTTGGGCCCCTTTTCGTCACAGGCCACCTTGCAGGACAGGATGTTGCCGAAGGCCGAGAAGATGTTGTACAGCGCCTTGTTGTCGATGGTCTTGCCCAGGTTCTTGATGAAGACGTTGCCCACGCCGCTCTTGCGGAGCGACGGGTCCCTCTGGGACCACATGATGCGCACCGGCCTGCCATTGATAACGTCAAAGTTCATGGTCTCCAGGGCCCGCTTGGCGTCCACCGGTTGCTGGTAGTTGACATACGCGTAGCCCAGGGAGCGCCGGGTGACCTTGTCTCTGCAGAGGCGGATGGACAGGATGGGCCCTGCGGGGCTGAACTTCTCATACAGCATGGACTCGGTCACCTCGGGGTGCAGGTCGCCCACGTACAGCGACGCCGTGGGAAAGTCTGGGTTGCCATCGTCGGAGCCCCCCGCCGCGGCCTCCTCCTCTTCTGCGGCCAGGGCCGCCGCCAGCTCTTCATCCATGTCCACCCTCCCGTAGGAGGGCGACGCGGCAGCCTCCGCGGCGGCCCCCGTGGCCTCCGCCAGGCTGGCCTCCGAGGCTGCCACCGACGCGGCCGCGCCGGGGGCCTCTGCCTTCTCCCCGGCCAGAGCCGCCGCCTCCCCCAGGCTGGCCTCCGCCGCCGCCGCGGCCTCGGCCTCCACCTCAGCCTCCACCTCCGCTTCCGCCTCCGCCACGGAGGCCTCCGCCACCGCCTCCGCCACGGTCGCCGCCGCCGCCTCCGCCTCTGCCGCCGCCGCCGCCGCCGCCGCCGCCGCGGCGACCTCCGCCGCCACTGCCGCCGCGGTCGCCACGGTCACCGCTGCCGCCGGGCCGCTGCCGCGACCGCCTTTCCCGCGAGCTGAGGGGCGGAGGGGCGGCGAGAGCCGGGGGGCGCCGGGGCCCGGGCCGGGGGCTCAGCGCGCGGCGGCGGGGGCCTGGGGCCGGTCTGGCCGAGCGGGCGGGAGCGAGGCACCCGGGGTGGCGAGCGCCAGCCCGGAGCGCGCAGAGCCGAGTCTCCGCAGCCCGCCGCCTGCCGCCTGCCGCCTGCCGCCTGCCGCCTGCCGCCTGCCGCCTGCCGCCGCTCGGTCGTGGGCTGCCGTGCGGGGCGCGGGAGGCGGGAGGGCGGCGTGTGGTGGGGGCGGGGGGTGTTGGCGTCTGTGGTCCGGGCAGCTGGGAAGGCTTCTGTCTCTTTGGTTCCCCCTGTGGCTGCTGCGGGGCTGCGGGGCTGCGGGGCTGTCGCGGGCTGCGGGGGCGGGGTGGAGAGCGGGGGGAGTCGGGCTGGGGGGACCGGCACGCGGCCTCTGGGGCGCCCACGCGCTCGGCCGGAGGATGCCAGGGACGGGACCGTGAGCTGGACCAAAGGAATCCAGGTGCTATGTCTTCGGCGGGGGTGGGGGGGGGGGCAGTGCTCTGCCCCTTCCCCCGGGAAGGAAGGAAGGGTGCTGTGATTCAGCTGAGGACCTGGCAACAGGGGCTGAGGTGGCCTGGAAGCCAGGCTGGCCCTGCCCAAAGGAGGCAATCTACAAGCAGCATTCCAACCTCCAGGAGGCTGGCTGCCTTCCCCCTCTAAAGAGCTGCCTGCCCACCTGCCTGCACACCACACACACACACACACACACACACACACACACACACACCAGAGAGAGAGAGAGAGAGAGAGAGAGAGAAGCCAGAGCATTAGTATGCTCTCTCTCTACCTCTGTGTGTGCCCATATGTGTGTTTATGTGTCCATTTGTGGGTCTCTGTCTCTCAAAGTGACACAGAGCTTCAAGAGCATGCACTCTCTAATTCTGCCTCTCTGTTTCTGTTCTTGTCTCTTTTTCTCTCTCTGACACACACACACACACACACACACACTCACTCACTCACTCACACATCACCACCACCATTGCCACCCAGGATGACATAAGTTTTCCCAGCTCCCCACGCAGCCTGATGAGCCATTTTCTCAGCCTGCTCCCCCTTCCCACTGCCCCCACACACACTCAGCAACATTTCCAAAAGAGAGAAGAAAGAACACGCGCTCATTCATGATGCCCTTCCACAAACACTCTACCTAGAGCCTGCCCAGTCCCTGGGGATGCAGAAGTCCAGAAGACAGAGGACTAGGGGCTGCCTTTGAGCTTCTCCCGGGGAGCAGACAACCTGGACTGGAAACTGCACCCCACTCCACCCTCAGCCTCTCCCTGACTCTGCCCCAACCTCTGGACTGATGGGAACCTGGGTTCATGTCACAAGACAGCTTCAACTCCCACTGCCAGGTGGGAAGTGAAAATCAAGAGCACCTAGGGTCCATGGCAGCCCTCAGTGATAAGTCAAGGAAAGCCAAGCAGGGTCTGGGCAGTTTGGGCACTGGCTGAGAAGGGCCTGGTCTAGAGCCAGGTGCTTGTTCACTCTTGTCTATGCCCTTGAGGCTCTGAGGTTCCTGACCTGGACCAAGAAATGCACATCTCTGCCCAGAAGGCAAATGAGAACCGGACCTGGACTCTCTTCTCGGGATGACATGGAGAATCCATAGTCACCAGCTAGTGCTTCTGGCACTGGGGGGCTGGGAGTGCAAAAACACAGTGTGGAAAGGGAACTGTGAATGCAGGTGTGCTGCTCCTGTGGAGAGAGCAAGGAGGGCACACAGAGCCAGATGCTGAGGGGACAGGCAAGCTGACAGCCTTCAGGGTATAGACCTGAACAGGGACTGGAGTCCCAAGACCTCCTCCAGAAAGGAGGAGCAGATACTGAGTGTTCTGGAAGGAATGGAGGGCAGCTGTGCTGAAGGGGAAATGCCAAGTAGGCTGGGAAGCAGAAGGAGTAGTGCTCCATCCTTCAGGAGGGGAGGCCTGCAGGCAAAGGGATCGCTCTATGCCCCGGATCTGACAGCACCCACATGGCCACTGGTGCTCCTACCACATGACCTAGGCTGGACAAAGTCTCTAGGATCCTAGCGTGGGAGATAGCTGGGACTATAGATCAATGGGCTTTCTCGCAACTCAGCATGTGCAAGGAGAGAGGTGGTGTTATCAAAGTAGCAGAAAGGGATTTGAGCATCAGTGTGTGTACAAGTATGGGAGCCCCCACACACAAATCTGTGGCAGAACATAAAGAAAACTCAGACGGAACTGGCTCCAAAAGCGTCAGAACAAACTTTCCCTCTGTCTGCACTGCCGTTTCTCAAACAGGGGCTTCACGTTTGTCCTGAGCCAGTGGCACAGGATATGGTTTGAAGAAACAGAGTAAACATAACCCAAATCATGGTGTCTTTCCTCAGCACTTCTTGACTGCCCTACAGGAGCTCCAGTTGCCCTTTCACACAACAGAATCCCCCCACACACACACCAGCAAAAAGACTGAGTTGTTCTTTTTAAAATCTTTATTTGTAGTCAAATGTAATGGAAAAGGTTAAGTAGTGGGTTTCATCTTACAGGTGTCAGTATTCTTTGTTCTCCTTCATTATCATGAATTATCATTCATTATCTGCTGGGCCAAGCATTCCTCCAGCTTATCCCCTTCATTCTCCAGTTAACCCCTCCATTTGCCTTGTAGTCCTCTACTCTAGTTGAAAGCCATATTAAGATCTCTTCTTCGCCACGCATGACCCTCCTTTTAAGTCTCATTTCACACACAC